TATGTCAGAAGCAGTAAGTAAAATTTTGAATAAATAATTAGTACCAATAATGTTGGTATGTATCTGTATTTCTATTAATATGATATTTATTTATTTATTAAAAATTTCGTCACGATGTGTATAAATACATATTGACCAGGGGGGGGGGGGTGATTAGAGATGACATGGGCTAAAGCCCAACACGACAGGTGGTCATCTCTAAACTCCTAGCCAACAACAATAGGATAAAATATATAAAAAGCATAGGCCTATAATATATGCAAAAAATTCAGAAAACAATTTAAACATTCAAAGAATCAATAAAATAATATGAAATACAGTCAACTTGTGATCGGATGTCAGGAGGAACAGTGTTCCAGAGTTTGGCTGCTTCGACAGATTTCTGGATGTTCTCAAGCAGCTTAACATGTGACCTCCGTCGGTACCCAAACTGAACAGCAATATTCTAAAACAGGTAAAACAAGATTTATACAAACGCAAAAAGAAAAGAGAACCTTGGCCAACAGAAATACGGGAAATAAAACCAAGCGATCCAGAGGCTCTTGAACAGACATTATGTATATGAGTTTTAAATGTGAGATCAGATGAGACATGAACCCCGAGTAATTTAGCTTCATGGAGAAGTTAAATTCGGGAGTTATAAATTAAATAATTTGGCAATGAATATAATTATGTTTTATTATGTTGTAGAGGTATTTTAAATTATGCGCTATATAAATTGATACCAGTAATTATTATTACTATTATTATTATTATTATAATTATTATTATTATTATTATTATTATTATTATTATTATTATTATTATTATTATTATTATTATTATTATGTAATATCGTATTATAATAAATTATTCAAATAGGTATAGTTATTTGTTCATATAAATGAATTCAAATTTGAAAGCCGAAGCTGATTATGTATTGCACTTAATAAGATAAGATACCGTAAGCTTTATTGGTCTATTCACATATAAAAATACATAAACAGAAGTGTTTCTTGAATCTGGCATAAACACGTCAACACCAACAAACATCAAATTATAAAAGCAAAGAAATTGTAACGCATCTACTCATTACATAATTTAAGTATTATATATAAAAATATTTTAAATATTAAATATTAATTAAAATTATAGTAATTACGACAAATTTCATTTACAACAAATTTAATTGAATATTAATTAAAATTATAATTATTTTACGAACAATTTTATTTACAATAAATTGAAAAGAATTCAATATCAAAAATATCAATTGCAGTTCAAATATATATCAAAAATATAAAAATTGCAAATGAATACAAGAAAACTCTAACAATTACATACATACATACACACAAAAATACATAAGGTACATACAAAAACTCGTGCAAGTCAAGAATCAATTATAATTATAAACTACAAAAATAAAAGCACAAGAGTTACAAAAACAACAACACCAAAATCAATAACATAAAAAACATAAATAAACTTGACTAGCATACAATGGCGGGGTGAGTTTCCATGTGCAATCATAAACATCTAGGATATTATTATTTATTTTAATTTCAATGAAGATAACTATCGTTTGACATTCAAGTTGTATAAATGAATTCCATTGGGTATCCATTTATAATAGTAACTTTGGTATGGTGGGCACAATATGTTTTTCTCAAAAATGTTTTATCATCTTTCTTTATCACAAGTGATGGTGTAACTCTATACCAAATTCATTTCCATGTGATGTAATAATATTATTACACAATACCTTGTGAGTAAAAACGTGTCTTAATGGAAAATCCTCGGTGTATTACCACTTTTCCACATAGTTGGTAGAGCATCCGAACGGTAATCGGAAGTCTTGGGTTGAAATCTCGATGGGGAGAGTACGATTTGCTCAATGAATTATTACCTTTATTACATTTTAAAAACCAATAAACATAACATCAAGTTCTTTATAAACAAAATTAAAAAAAAAAAAGTCCTAAAATGGCATAGGCTATTATAGATAAAATATGCATTAAAAAACAATTTAAATAGGCCTAGAATATCTATGTATTGCAGTTTAACATAATATAATATATCTACTACTATTTTAAAGCATGACATAATGCGGTTACGCTCATCATTACGCACAATTTTACTCAACCGAAGCAGCATTAATACTACGTTTCTCCATGTTTATTTTCCCTCATCCTATACCTAAGCATAATTTTGCTGGATTATTTTGGGTCTTCCCAGTCTGTGCACTAATATCTGTTCTTTACCTGTTATTCTTTTTCTTTCAAGGGTAGCCTTCTCAGTAAAATACTGCACATACGGCACATTTTTGGGTTGGATTGATGAAGTCATATTAGTCAAAAAGATATCCTTACCTACTCGTTTCTCAAATAGCATATAGCACTCATGGCATTGTGTAGGTAAATTACAAACTGTGCTCATAGAATGATATGATTAACATTAATTTGATTAAAGTGGAAAAAAGAGAAAAACAATTATAAGTCAGTGTTAATATTAATCAACTAATTAACGAAAAGTAGATAATGAAGTTATTACTCGTCTCGTGTCAACATAACCTATATTACCGGTACTTCATTTGCGGTTATAAGGTGTTCGCTGGATTTCGCCACTACATGTGGACCGCATTACACGCGCGGCCTTGGCTGTGTATTCACCTACTAAGTACATACATAGGCCTATTATTAGCCTATATACTGTAAGTCCATAGGCCTATTAGTATATTATATACTGGTAATATTATTATTCTTTTATAACAATAAATAAATTTACAACGCTTCTTATAGATGATAGTGATTTAGGAATCTTGGCGGCGGCTTAATTTTGTTTAAAAAAATAATATTCCCAATATTCAAAAATATTTTAACTTTTTTAGAAAAAGAGAGTTTTACAATCGTAATATAAGGGTTTGGATGGGGTTCGCAATGTGTTTGGATTGTGGTGTATTTGCAAGTATTTTTTCACAAAAGAAATCAACATTTTAACCCAAAAATACCGTAGGTTCTTATAAATATTTAACTTTCTTATTGATATACCAAGTGAGTCAATCACAATTGAATTGTTTGGTTTTCCACAGTGTGTTTTAGGGTTTTTGGGGATTTAGCTTTACCATTTGATCCTACCATAATTAATTTACCCTCACAATTACACGCCATTTTAATTCTTAGCATAATTGCCATATTTACATAACTATGTATATAATATAGTATCTCAGTTTACATTATTTAGTATAGTTTTAGGCACTTAAATTTACTTGGTGGAGAGTAGAAACCAAGTATGCAATTAAATAAGTTGCTTAATTAAATGTATTCCTTATAAATATTCAGTTTACTTTAAAAACAATGTTTGATTAACAAATACTTCTTTGAAGTAACTCTAAGCAGAACATTTGTTGAAGTAAAGTAAGCCTCCCTTTGCCCATACATGAACTTGTCATTCAAACACACAATTGATCCACATGCTTTAACTACTGTTTTATTTGCACTGTTTATAACATGTAAAGTTATTTCATTTGATACTTAACAAAAGTGAATTTTGTGGTTATCTATGAGTTGCATATTGTGGTAGTTGAAGTACTGTATGTATATCATTCCTCTACTTTGTTAGTGGAATAACGTTTTTAAATATTATTTCAACTATCAAAAATGTTCAATGGCCGTTGTTTTCTGATAATCTCTCAGTACATTATTTGCATCTGTTGTGTAACTGTATTTGTTATTGATTTAATTCTTGCTTATTACAGTATTTAAATATATAAAGATTAAAAAAAAATATATCATTTCTATTACTGAATTTTTTCATTGGGGCCATTTTTATCTACTTGTCATTTGGGGCCATTTTTACTGGGGCCATTTTTACCGGGGCCATTTTTTCCGGGGCCATTTTTTCCTGGGCCATTTTTTTCCGGGGCCATTCTTACCTACATTCCTGCGTGTTCATGGCGCGTAACGTAAAAACGGTTTAGTCTTGTATTGTCATGAAAAGATGGGAGAGATTCATATTTTATAGGCCACATACCACTGGTATCGGTATTAAAACGCACATCACAGGGCACTTGATAAAACCAATGGAGTGGACATTACCCATGCAAAAAGCGGACAAGGAAACTATGGTATCTGGCAGAGGAAATAAAAGTACTATTGCCAGGGACGAGTTTACACACTATTTTAATGTGATAGAATTTCAAAAAGGCATGTTTGTACATGTAGGCGTGACACTTGTTATGGCACACGGGACATAATTTAAAAAGAGGCAATAAACGCGTTAAAGACGTTTTACTCTAGATCCGATAATGTCCGATACAATAACATTGGAGTTGATGAACTGAAAATAGCTTTCATTAAAGTTACTTAAGCGTAAAATACAGAATTAGATTAAGTGAGTTTCACGCATACGCCCACTATTCAAAGTTTGTTATGCCATTATATATGGTAAATGAAGCACGAACTTTACTGAACTAAACTAAACGAAGTTGAACTATGGAAATATTAAATAGGTCCATGGTTGTACCGTTAAAGAAATAGTTTAAAAGAGGTATAGAATAGCGAGACGCGGAAATAAAAGGCAAAAATTAAGAACTACTACTGGCAATTGATTGTTGACGATTGGTTAATAAGAGAGGCCTAGTCACTGCTATTTTCTAGCATAATGATAATTATCATAGTACTGTAGCTGTTTTGGTGTTTAATCTAAATAATTATTTTAATAAACAATTATCAAAATATTATACAATGATAATAATACTGTGCAGTAATTAATAGGTCTAATAATAGGTATATAATACAATAATGTAGGTTAAAAAAAACAAAAAAAAAACCCCACAAATAGTGATGATTAAAATTTATAATTATATATAATAGGCCTAGTATTAATAATGAAAATATAGCCTACATGATCCATTTTCCACCCCTCCCCGCACTCCAATGGCTACCCTGGATACGGCCTTGACTCCAGGCAGCGTTTTTGAACTAGGGAAGGGGTGGGTGGGGAACAAATATTATCGCAAATATAGAAGTTTATGAATCTGAATAGTAATTTCCATTGCATAATTGTTAATTATGGACTTTTAAAGTAGGCCAATCACTTGTACTTTATTATAATTTATAAACATTGAATTTTGATACAAGAATGTCATTGCGCTCATCTTTTCTTCTATTCGTTTAATATATTAGTTGTTACATAATATTTTATTATGCATATACTTAGCCTTTTAGCCTACTGTTACACCAATATGAGTTCTGAACGGCTGCAGTAGCCGATAATGAAAAGGAGAATAAAGGATCGATGAAGTTACGATATAATTTCTTCCAGATTTATACACTAAATCATAACATTTCTTCCTTACTCCAATTAATGTATGATTATTTTCTACTAGTTGTTGCCCAAAGTCCTTGTAGCAGTATCCCATGCAACAATGGGTTTTGTAGCGTAGTAAATGATACCGAATACACTTGCGATTGCCGTGGGACAGGATTTGTTGGGACAAACTGTTCAATTGGTAAGAAATGATACACTGTATTCATATACAGGTCTCCCTCCAATTAAAGACCACTTTTGAGACAGGGGTTTCCATTGTTTTTTAGCAGCTTTGGTCTCTAATTAGAATAATAAAGATAAAAGAAATTTGTTAAATTGGGACCACAGAATGGTGGTCTTTAATTGGAGGTGGTCCTTAATCGGAGGGAGACCTGTATTATATATATAGGCCTATATATATTCGTTATATATATATAACTCCGTTTCCTGTTTTTCTTTCTTCTTTATTATCCATATGAACACACGTGGACTCCTCTTCATGTTTTCTACATATCTGTATATAGTCGGAGGCTTGGATGGAACAAAACGTGTCTTTAATTATCAAGCTTTCGAGCTTGCGCTCTTCATTAAGATCTAAGGCACAAAAACATCCATAAAACAGTACAAAATCGTCTTAAAATATAAAAACTACTTAATCAAATAATTAAGGGTGTTAAGTGAAATCAAGATATATGCACGTTTCATTTCAGTAAGTTTCACGAATTGCCTTTATAAATTTGTATTAAATAACCAATATTGTATATACATATAGGGTATATTTTACTATAAACTAAATCAGAGTACGAACCACTGTGCATGGTATAGTAATTTTGATGTATTGTAATTGTAGGTATTTTTAATGTAAATTATTTTAATACGGTTTATAGTCCTTATCTGAGAAGACTTGTTCACCTCCAGAACCATAGGCGAGCCAGCGCCGATATTATGGTATAAGTTGCGGGCCCCTGCCATAACAGCGCGGCCATTCGACTCGCCCGCACCAAAAAAGCACAATTTTAGGCCATAGTAAACTCTCTCCATGAACCCTACCATGGATTTTTATTCTGGCACCTTGACCGAGGCTTTATTTGGCCTCTTGGTTCGGACCCTTGTCGAGTTTCTCAAGTTACCACTGCTGTGTACGAGAAAGTTGAAGAACTAGTAAACATAAGCAAAAAGGTATGCAGTAGTTTAATTTAGTAAAATGCCATTTAACAGTTAATTAGGAAAGGTACGGTGCCTGTAACCACAAGACCTGTTTCGGATTGTATTAAGCAATATTGTTTATTTTTTTAAAGACGATATGTGTTTTCCCAGTCCGTGCAACAATAATGGAGTTTGTAATATCACTTCACCTGATTACTCCACGTTTGAATGTCTCTGCGCTGGAACCGGGTATGTTGGAGATACCTGTGAGATCGGTAAGATAAAAATAAGAAAAAAAAAATAAAGAAAAGAAAAAACCTAATAAACCAATTGGATAAGAATAACAAGATAATATTTAATAGGCCCATACTACTATTATAATCATTATTTATTATTACTTACTAAATCATATTATTATTATTATTATTATTATTATTATTATTATTATTATTATTATTATCAGCCTATTATTTTGATAGTAATTGTTATTGTCGTGATGGGATATTAGACAATAACTGGATTTGCGTCAGGAGAAACATGTATAGGCAAAATTACACCTATACAGCCTATTATTTTATTATGATTATGATTATGATTATTATTATTATTATTATTATTATTATTATTATTATCACCATCCTATTAATCAGCCTATTTTGGGTAATGTATTGATTAAATGTTTAAGTATCTCAGGCTGTGTTTATCATTTTTAGCTATGAAATTTAGTATGAGTGTAAGTCAGTCAGACTCAGCAATCATTTTGCCATCTAAGTGATATTATAATTTTGAGTTTTTGTCTATCTAGATGATCCGTGTTCACCAAGTCCTTGCCTTAACAATGGCGTCTGCCAATTGAATGAAACAGACTACACTTATGTATGTAACTGCGCTGGAACTGGATATGTTGGAGATACATGTGAGACCGGTAAGTTAAAATTAAGAAAAAAAAAAAAAAAAAAAAAAACATAAAAAACTAATTACAATAGAAAGGTACCGGGTAATATTTAAAAGGCCCATACAAACTGTTATACTCACTATTTATTATATTCATATGATTATTACCACTGCACCATTACTATTATCATCGTAATAAAATTATTAGTTTTCATTAGCAAATAATAATTATATAATAATAAAAAAATATTATAATTATTGTAATAATATCATTTATAATGATATATATATATATATTTATAATTATATAATGATAGTGATATAATTTTTATTATTATCATTATCATTATATTATTATAATATATATGAGAGGAGCTTAGCTCAGTCGGCTAAACTGTTGGTAGCCACTGTCTGTGTGCTGGACCGTGACGATCTCTTGGACCTTTTGATCTCCTGAATTCTGCAGTATGAGATTTTCAAATCGAGTTAGTCGAGACGGCCCGAGAGTAGAGTTTCATGCAAATGTTTCGTAAGGAAAAAAATCGCCCCGGTTCAATTCTCATCGCTGCTCCGATAGCGCCTATTGGATGACATGTTTACACCGTTGGTCTTGTGTGCATTATAGCCCATGCGCACGTTAAAAATACGCAGTGCACTCTTCAAAAAAGAGTAGGGGATTTTCTCCCGGTGTACTGCTCAATTACCACCAGAAGGACCCTATTAAAGAGTCTTCTTTAGACTTTCGTGGTTTATCCTTGATGTTTACACCGAATAAATAAATCCATCCATCCATCCATAATGTAATAATAATGATAATGGTTATTATTATTAATTTGTTAATAATAACAATAATAATAATAATAATAATAATAATAATAATAATAATAATAATATTATTATTATTATTATTAATG